GTGCTTAGATACCTGGATTGAGACACAGGCTGAATAGGGAAGCGAGGCCGAGTGGGAGATACAGAAGTAGACAACCCATAAATATGTAAGAGTTTGAAAGAGGAAAAACAAAAGAATCATTAACTGATGGGTAGAGGGCAGTCATGTGTTTACTCAGATAACAGGGAGGGTAGTGTACAAAAATGGGTAGGTTGGCAGAAGAATGATGAAGACAGGTGAAGCCACAGGGAGGTACACAGGGGCTGAAGGGGCTACATACAGGTGCATAAACTAAAATCAACGATGTTCTACAGGTAGATACATGGAGACACTTGCTGACTGGGGATGGAAAGAACGTGAAATCTTACATAGCTATACATACAGCACAAATAGACGAGAGTTTACGGAGGATACTGGTACGTGAGCATTTCTCTGTCCTGCACACATGACTGTGAATGTGGTGGAACATACAGCAGGCAAAATGATGAAAACTTCTCAGATATTACCAAACATCTTAATGCAATGAGTAGCTGAGCCTGGGGGTTCAGGACCATGGTCTCAGGGTACACCATGGTCAATTAACATAACATAGTCCACAAAGACAATGCTGTACATCCTACGTTGGTTGAGTAGCATCTGGGATATTAAAAGCTCATGAACGGCCATCTGAGGTTTCTCCACGAGCTGCAGAAAGAAGAGTAGAACTGAAGATGCCTGGAATCAATTAGTCCAACAGACTAACAGAACATGGGAAAATCAGTCTCCATGAATCTGAGATCAGAAGAGCCAGCTACGGCTACCAACCGCTCTGAAAGGGATCACAATAGAAGGTCCTGGCTAGAGGGACAGAATGTGTGGAACAAAACTCAAAATTATTTTTATAAAAGCAACCATGAAATTATGTTCCTCAACCACCCTTAAGGTCTGGAAGGGAACTCACCCCTGTGGTCCAATTTTCAACTAAGAAGTGGGCAGGGATATAGGGGGACAACAACACTAATAAGGTATGCTCACTAGGAATGACAGAAGGGTCAATCGTTCAAAATCAAAGGGGCACCAGATACATAAGGACAAAGGTGAGAAGGGCTGGGAAGGAGGGTGGAATGGGAACAGGAACCACAGGGAGGAAGTGGGTAACTTGTTACGTGCAGGGGGCTGCAATCACTGAGAAGAAACAAAGCGTGTGATTTGTTGAATGTAAAACTGATGATCTTGTCTGTAAACCTTCACACAATTCACAACAGAAAGTTTAAAAACAGAAAACAACAAATACTGGCAAGGGTGTGGAGAGACTGGCACCCGCCTACCTTTCTCCTGAGACTATAAAACAGTGCAGCCATGTCAAAACCAGTATGTTGCTTCCTTCAAAAGTTGGAAATAGAAATACTGCACAACCCAGCAATCCCTCTACTAGGTATATACCCATAGGAAATTAGAGTCAGGACACAAGTAGATATATGCACACCGACATTCATCACAGCACTATCCACAATGCAAAAAGACGGAAAGAGTCTAAATGCCCATCAATAGAAGAATGGATAAACAAACTTCAGTACATACACACAACTGAACACCAACCAACACTGAAGAATCACGGTGAGTCTGCAAAACCACCTCCTAACATGGATGAAAGAACCTGGAGGCCATTATGCCGAGGGAAATTAGTCAGTTACAAAAGGACCAATATTGTATGAGACCACTACAATAGTCAAGAAAGGGAGTTCATGCTAAAAGAAATATTTTTTGATAGTTGCCAGAGATGAGAGAGTAATCCAGTGGCTGGAGAGCAGACACAAATTAGCTCAGGTGATGGGGAAGGCAAAACAGAAGAAGGGAGAGGTTGGCAGGAAAAGGATGAAGACAAGCGAGCCACAGGGCGGTATGCGAGGGTTAAAGGGAATGGACCTAAACGTGCTGCACATACAATGACACAATAGTGTCTGTGGGTGAGTACATGAACAGATCAACAGCTGAATGGGTATGGGAGGGAGAGTGGGGGCACACCCACAAATATCTAATGGTTTGAAAGAGGATTTTTGTACACAGGGATTTACGTTTTCTGAAAACAATTGAGACTGTAGCGGAGCACATGGGGGCAAAACGATGGCAATGGCTTCGTTGTTAACAAACATCTTAAGGCAATGAGTTGCTGGGCCTGGGGGCTCAGGACCATGGTCTCAGGGGACACCAAGGTCACCTGGTGTAACACAGTCCTGCTTTGGTGAGTACCGACTGGGGTTCATGAGGAGCCATCAAAAGTGCAACTATTCTTGGTCTCTCCATATAGAAAGACGAGGGACGAAAACTGAAGATGCTTGAAATCAACTAGTCCAATGGACCAATGGAGCACGTCAACATCAGTCTCCACGACTCTGAGACCAGAATGAGATGGCGCCCAACTCCCACTACCAACTGTTCTGAGAGGGATCACTTTAGAAAGTCCAAGACAGAGTAGGAGAAGATGTGGAACAAAACTCCAAATTATAAACAAGACGAGGCTTACTGGTCACAAAGAGACTGGAGGAACCTGAGACTATGATCCTCGACCACCCTTCTGGTCTGGAGCAAGACGCACCCTCCTCATGGCCCAGTTTTCACCCAAACAGTAGAGAGGTATACAGAGGAGAGAACAACATTAGTAACAGTAGATGCGTTTACAGAGGAGAGATCGACGTTAGTAAGATCTGCTCACCGTGGAATGGTCAATCATTCAAGATCTAAAGGGCAACATTTACCTCAGGATAAAGCTGAGACGGGCTGGGAGAAAGAGTGGACTAGAAACAGGAACCATAGGGATAACTACTGTTGCATGGAGGGGGCTACAGTCATTGAGATGACAGTGTCTGATTGGTTGATGCTCTTGTCTGTAAACCTTCATTCAATTCACAATAAAAAGTTGTTGATTGTTTAAATTAGAAACTATTAGAAATCAATGGAAATCCTAGAACTGAGAAGACATGAACACTCACAAAAACAACTTCACGGGATGGGTTTAACACAGAGAAGGTGGGAGGTAGCAGGGTCATGACTCCTGAAGATAGCTGAGGAGAAATGATCCAGTCTAAGAGCACAGTGGAAAAAATACAGAAAAAAAAAAAAAAAAAAACATAGTCTCAAGAGACCCGTAGAACAATTATCAAGAAATCTAACACACTATGTGTGATTTAAGTACCACAGAGAAGACTGGCATAGAAAAAAAGCACTTGAAGAAATAATGGTCCAAATGTCCCAAATACAATGAGGACACTGACCTACAAGTCTAAGCAGCTCATTAAACCACAAGCAAGCAACATGCACAGACAACCACAACTAAACACAACACAGACAAACGGCTCAAACAATCAAAAGATCTCAAACAGGTAAGAGAGACACTCGGCATTCAGGGAACAAGGAAAAATTCAGGGTTGGGCCCCAGAAAACAGAACATCTTTTAAGTACTTAAAGAAAAAAAAAAAAAAAACTTTCAACCTGGAATTTTATATCTAGGGGAAATGTCCTTCAAAAATGAGAGTAACTTACGACCACTTCAAATAACCAGAAGCTGAGTGAATTCACTGCGAGGAGAGCGGCACAATGATAAAGACTGCCCTTCAAACCAAAGGAAACGATGCTGGACAGCACCTCCGATCTACAGGAAGGAATCAACAGCACCGGAAATGGTCAACTACGTAGACAGACGTAAAACACCACATTTTCTTTCTTCCTGTAACTTACTCGGAAGACAACCGACAGTTGTCAGTGGTGTTGTTAGGTGCTGACAAGTTGGTTCCGACTCACAGTGACTCTACACAACAGCCCAGTCCTGCACCACATCCTCACTTCTAAGCAGCATTCTGGCTATAGTTCTTCCAAGACACAGTTGCTTTTCCAGACGTCTATAGTACTTTCAACATTCTTTGTCAATACCATAATTCAAAGGTATCAATTCTTCTACAATCTTCGTATACACTGTCCAATTTTCACATGCATATGAGGCGACCGAGAATACCAGGGTTTGGATCAGGTGTACCTTAGTCCTCAAACTAACACCTTTGCTCTATAACACTTTAAAAAGTTCTTTTGCAGTGGATTTACCTTCTAGAAGCAAGAATAACCACATTTTAAGGTGGTTTTATAACTGCTATAAAGATACAAGTAAGACATTAAACAAAGCCAATCGCTAGACATTTAGATAAACAGAAACACGCAAAGACTCTTCTTCATACGGCTCTCAGCGCTCCAGTGGGGCACACCCCTTTCAGCCAAAATTCTTGTCAGGTGCCGTCCAATTGGTTCTGACTCATAGCAATCCCACAAACAACAGAACAAAACACTGCCAGGACCTGTGTCCTCCTCAGTCGGTGCTGTCTGAGCCGATGATTGTGCGAGCCACCTCTTGGGGGTCCTTCCTGTTTACACTGACCCTCCACTTTACCAGGGACTGGTCCCTCCTGAGAACGTGAAACCAAGTCTCTCCATCCTCACTCCTAAGGAAGATCTGTTCTTCTGACCCAGATGTGTTCATTCTTGTGATTTCCCACATGTAATTGTCAAAGACAGCAGAAACCATGTCATCTATGGTAATTATTATGGTAATTATGGTAATCTAACTCACTTCTGGACAGAACTTTTAGCTCATTTTGGAATTCATAAATAAGGTACAGTAATACACATTCAGACAAACATTCCAAGATGGTTGAGACAACACAGAAATGGTAAGACAGCTGATTGTTATAAGTGAGTCTGTATGAATGAAGTGAGTTGTCAGGGGCCACCGTCGCCGCCACCCCACCCCACCCTCCCAGCACCTTCCGGACCCAAGCCCCCTGAGGCCACAGTACCTCTGTTCCTGATCCCGGTCCTGGAGAATCCACTTTCCTCCTTTTCCTGGGCCCGATGGCTGCCAGTGCCGTGAGGTTGGCATCGCGCTGTCTCATCTGGGCCAGCTCCTGCTGCTGCATCTTTGTTCCGAAAAGAAACCAGCAATGTCATTTCCTGCACAGGCTTTCTGCTTACTACGAAAATATTACACAGACACCACCAGGCTTTCTGGAATATTCTGATTTCTTTAATGTTTTTTGCTTGTCATAGTAAGCAGACCACTTCTACAATCAGAAAATATGGACTTTTTAGAAAAGCAATAAATGCCCATCCTAGAACGCTCACAAAACACAGACACGGTGACAATACAGCAGCTAAGTGCCAGCCAAAGAGAAAGCCCTGTTTCTTTTTTTAAAGGACACAAATCGTTTGCAGAGGAAAGTCTCTGGCCCGGCATTATCCGACACGACCTTGCATGATCCCATCATCTCCACAAGTGTCTGGCGTTCGCTACACTATTTTCAAATGTACAATAAAGATGGTGCATCCAGAGAAACCTACCTCTTTTGCCTTCTGTTTCAACCGTAATTGTTCTGGGTCTTCTTGTCTGGATCGAGACTATTTTTGAAAATGACAGAAAAGAGTCTAAGTCATAGGGTTACATGCATACTGGATTGTTAAGAATCTTACAGCCAAAAGAACACTTCAGGTTGCACAGTGTGAAAAGAGTGTTCTTAAGAAAGTCGTCGGCATCTTTGGATAATATGGCCTTTGGGATGAGTCCGCCAATTACAGGAAGCTGGTGGAGGATGGGGACTGTGTGTCCAGTCCAGGGCCCTCAGTCACCTCTGGTCCTATTAATAATGAACCTTGGTGGAGCAGGGATTAAGCACACGACCACTAACGGAACGACTCAAACCCAGCAGCCCCTCTGTGGGTGAAAATGTCTCCTTCCATAAAGAGGACAGCCTGGGAACCTTCGGGCCCACTTTGCCTCAGTCTAATAGGATCATCAGGAGTTGGAGTTGACTCAACGATGGTGGCTTTTACATTTCCAAAGGAAACCAAGCTGACTGCTGTCTATCTGATCCTAGCTCACAGCGAGCCGACAGGTCAGAGCACAATGGTCCCACAGGATCTGGCCAGCTCTCATGGCCACATCAAGGAGCCAACAGGGAGCCGAGCCCACTGCACAAGTGTTGCTCCCGGCTAGGTGCCTCCCACTGCAGCCCCTCTCCACCCTCCCCGCAGGCCAGCAGGACTGTGTGAACCCACCACTTGCCTTTGCTGCTCGCATCAGGATTTCTCGCTCCTGCTCGTCTTTCCTCTGCTTTTCGATTTGATCAAGCTGTTCAAAAAACTTGAGCTGAGCCCGCACATCAGTTGCCTGCTCATACCTCTCATCATCCTGCCAAAAGGGTGAAAACACTGTTTGTCATAAATCAGGGAACTGAGCACAGCCTCCTCCCTCCATCCTCTTCCTCTTCCCACGGCTGCTTTGACAGCAAGGAGCTGCTCCCTTCATGGACAGTCACTGTGCCTGGTATACGGAGCTTGCTGATGTCTACAGAAGAGCATCTCACATTGCTGTCTGCACACGGAGGGCCCTCATGCAGTGTCTCCTAGTTTCCACACTTTGGTGTTGTTTTTAAAGCATTGTGGCCTCAATATTTTCACACTAAATGCTGTTCTCGAGGCGCTGACTTCTGGCTTTGGTGAACACACCCCATCCCTGCGGCCTCTGCTGATGGCACCCCGACTCTGTGGTGTCCCGAGCGCAGCCGTCACAGGCAGGGACGCACAGTGGGCTTGAAAACCTGCCGTCTGAGGCTGGGGCACCAACAGGACAAGGTTTCCAGGTCCACCAGCAGGCAGGCAAGACAGGATCACTGGGGGAGGGGGCCACAGCCCAAAGGTGCTGATGCCAACCTGCTGGTTCCCATGTGGCTCCCTGGTCCCAGGCAAGATGAGGGCAAAGACTCCATTATTTTCTAAGCTGACTGGGTTCCCCTTCACTGTCCAAGCCCCACAGAGCAACCTCACACAGCTATCTGTCCCACTGTTCCTACAGCTGAGGACACTAAAACCTACTTTTGTAGAAAATCCAACACCGGCCTCAGCCTGGACGTAGGCCTAGGGCTCCAGACGGTGTGGGGTCAGGAGCCCACACAGGGCCGCGCCTTACCTTATATGAGAAATTCTTCTGCTGAGCTGTTTCTGATATCCTCTCCACAAGGTTCTGTAGCCTTTGCTGCGTGGCGTGTGACACATAGCTTACGACATCTGGGTGCAGTTCTGTGATGCCGTGCTTTTTACCTGGGACCAAGTCAGGCAGTGAGAAACATTCTCAATCTCCCCTCATGTCTGCTCTGCTTTTCTCTCACACGCCAGTTACTGCCTCCAACAGGCAGCCCCACAGGAGAGGGGACGAGGGCTCAGAAGTGCCTCCGGTGCCCAGCAGCTGTCACACTCCACCAAGTGGACAGGATGATGACAGTGGGGCTGCCAGTAGGAGGACACCTTCCACGTCAAGCCTGTGACGCTCGGCCATCAACCACCCAAACTCACCGATTTCTAATATTCTTCTCTGCAAAGGAGCTGGGAGGAGGAAGGTTTCATCTTTACATGACCGCGTTAATGTGCCCACAAGTTCAGAGTTTGTGGCTAATATTCTTGCACTTTCTTCTGACAGGTTTACTCCTGCCATGGAGGCCACATCGTTGATGTCATCGTCATCCCTAGAGAATAGGAGACGAGGTCACTGCTCTGTATAAGAACATGTCAGACTCGCAGTTCCATTGGGAATCACCAAGGGAGGGCCAGGGCTGCTGGGACCCCCGGCTCCTGCCCTCCTGCACTTCTTCCACGGCCTAAGGGGGCACTGCCTGTTTTCACGGGAGAACAGAGCATGTGGACCCAGGCGGAATGGCGGAAACCGATGGCACTTATTGCTCTGAGGAGCTGCGCCAAGCAGAGGTGTTTCTCTCCATTTTCTCCACTCACAGGCAGCATTCATCTCCGTATCAATCACCACCTCAAAGACGGGACACAGGGTGGACAGAACTGTTCCAGATGCATTTCCTCCAGACAAGCGTGCCCCCCGACCCCCAAAACCACAGGCTGACCATCGGGCCTGGAGCAGCCCCAGGATGCCCACCCCTGCTCAGGCCCCAAGTTGGGCTGCTTCTCCTGACACCATACTCCACTGGAAGGGCCCCAACTCAGTGTGTCGACTGCACTGAGGGCTGTCCTGAGTCCGCTCCTGCCTCAGCTCTGGTCCTCTGAACCCCGACAGTCACAGGGATCACAGAGAGCACCCAGGAGTGCTGTAGGCCGCATTCTCAGTACACAACAGGCAACCAAGCTCAGCCATCCTCACCCAGCATACCGGAGAATGAATGCCTGGTCACAGGCAAACAACTGCCCTTATGGTCAGTGAGCACTTCCAGGAGAGGCATGCCCAGACCCTGGACACCCCACACTGCATGGAGTGACGCCACTTGCGCTCAGCAGGTGACGAGTCTGTCACGGTCTCTATTCACTCAGGCTGATGCTCTTGTTTCCCATTTAGCCAGTGGGAAGGGCTATTCCAGCACGTGGACTTCCCAATCTTTGAACGCTTCCTGGCTTTGGGGCATTTGACACGGTCATTTTCGGGAGACTGGAATTAAAAGGACAAGAGCTGGGGGTGCTGCAGTGAGCAGAGACTAAGTGTGAAGAACGCAAGGGCTCCCACACACACTTGTGCCCACATCCGGCCCTGCGTGCGTGAACCCCCAGAGTGGGGCTCTTCCAGCCATGATCTTGCAAATCCCACAAAATCATTGTGTGAAATTCACTCTAAGCAAGGTGCTTGTGGCCCAGCAGGGGACTGGAGAGTTCTGCTAATGCAAACACCATGCACAGCCCTGTCTGAGTTCACTAGTGCCTCAGAAACAGGCATAGCAGAGATGTAGGCCTTTAACCAACAGTCACTCCCACCGCGTAAGGACTAGAAGTCCGAGGGCAGAGCTCTAAGGAGAATCTTGCTCTCTTGGTCAGCTCTCTTAACTCTTTGACCTTAGCTAACTGGTTCCTCTGGAGTCCCGGTGTGGTGCCCTAGGATAAGCACATGACCTCAAGGTCAATAGGAACCACAAGGTCAGTGATTCAAACTTATCAGCAGCTCCTCAGAAACCCAAATAGGGTTGAAATGAGTTGGAACCAATTCGACGGTCCTTAACAATACCCACCACCACCTAGGTCCTTAGAGATCTCTACGTATCTTGGCGTCTACTTACCCAACCTCTGCTCTGCTCACTTCTTTAATCTCTTATGTCTCAACAAAGATTGGCTCAAGATACCCCGTACACTAACCCAGCCACACTAAAGAACACACAGAACCCATTCCCAAGTAAGACTGTAACCACAGGCATAGAAGTTAGGATTTACAGCGCATTCCTTTGGGGAAACACAATCTAATGCATAACGTTCTATCCTTTGGCCCTCAAGTCATCATGTCCTTGCCCACATACAAAACACACGCACCCCATCACATCACCCCCAAAGTCTTAAATCAACTCCAAGTCAAAAATCTTCTTTTCTGAGTCATCCAACTCAAATACTGGTGAGATCTGAGGTGTATTCTGTCCTAGGGTAAATGCCTCTTCATCTGTGAACCTGTCCTACCGAGAATACAAGATGGTAGCACAGGCAGTGACATTCCCATGGCAAGTGGGAGAAAACGGAGGATAAGAAGGAATTACGGGGCCAAGTCCCAGCAGAACAATCTACATTAGCTCTCAAGGTTGGAAAGAATCCTGAGAGCACCCAGACTCTAGGTGTTGCCCATGCTCTCTGGATTCTGGGTGGAGGCCCTTGTCCCGGATCTGCTTTCCATGTGCCCTGGGATGGCAACTCCTCTCTCTTGGCTTTGGATGGTCCCGTTCTCTTAGTCCATCAGAGTGGAGACCCCACCCCTTGGGCCCTGGCAGACCTTGTTCTTCTTCTCCTCTTGGGAGCGGCAGCCCTGTAGCCTCAGCTTTGGGTGTCTTCTCATACACCTGGCACACCGTAACAGCAGCCACACTCCGTAAGCAGCTCATGAAGATCCAACTCTTTGAAGCCCCTCCCTCTGCTGCGTGTTTTCTTTCCAGCAGTTCTCCTGACCTCCAAGGGACTCCAGGGGTGCGCCTCTCCTTGTCTTAGGAGGCACAAGACGGAGCTCTGCTCATCTGCTACCTGCTTGTGGAATTCCAAGAGGCAGACAGCGTTCTCCCCCTTTCCTTCTCTCTCTGCCCCCTACGGTCCAGGCTGATAGATGGGTTTGTGCTACGGAGTTGCTTAGATCTGTCAGTCAGCCTTAATCTCTTTAACGAAAGGAGTGTGTAGCCACGTCCTTGCTGACCACACTAGGACATGGGCCCTCAGTTTGTACAGCGCAATTTTCCAAATCTTGAAGTTTTGTTTTCATGTTGCACAGCCCATATTCCTCCTCTGACATTTTACTGTAAGTTGCGAGGAAAAGCTATGTGGTCCCTTTAAAATCTTGCTTAGAAATCTCATCAGCCAGCTATCCAAGTTCATCACTTACGAGTGCCACCAAACATGAGAGCATAATTCATCCAGTTCTTTGCCACTGATAATGCATAAAGAGCGTTACCCTTTCCCTGTTGTCTCATGCTCCTGGTTTACGTCTCAGACCTCTCCCGAATGACTTAACCCCCACATTCTTAGCAATGCTCTGTGGCTGCTGTCACTTGTATTCTGTACGACCACAGAGACATTCTCTCACGCTCTCCTCATTCCTGTCTGAGCTCTCACCAGAGTTGCCTTAACACCTGTCAATTCTACCAACAGGCTACATGCCTTAGAGTTTATTCCCACTCAAAGTAAACTGACTCTCTGCAGGGTTTCCGAGGCTGTAACTCTTTACAGGAGCAGAAAGCCTCCTCTTTCTACCGAAAAACAGCTGGTAGTTGCTAGCTGCTGACCTTGAGGTTAGCAGCCCGACTTGTCACCAGCCAGAGCTCTTTTCTACTGCAAGGCAGCCTCTGCTCTTAGCCAGTTCCACAACTGCTGCACACTGTAGACATCTGTCACGGCAGCCCCATGTTCTAGCTGAGCTATCTGGAAACACGACAGACACGCGGATGCCTTAAGAAGTAAACCTTTGTTTTCTCAGTTTGGTGAGGCAAGCCGTCCCCATCCAGGGCACCAAGTCTCGGGAGGTGTTCTCTCTCCCTTGGCATGCTGCAGTAGGTTTCTGTCTCTTCAGCGGTAGCTTTCTGGTTCCCTGGAGATGTCCATGTGGCTTAGCACCCATCGCACACCTTTTTCCTCTCTGCTTCCGGGTTTAATCTTGTTTCTATCTCAAGAGAGTAACTCAGGACACAACTCACACTGACCCCAACCTTGTTAGTGTAACACAGACAACACATTCCCAGGGGGACTAAGAGGCAGCCAGAGAGATCAGGGTTCATAGGCATTTTGTAGGGACACAAATCAATCAGTAACAGGGCCCTTGTGAAGGTGGGACCAAGCAGTGAGGTGCAGGGAAACTGCAGGGGACTGCTCAGTTGGTCTAGGGTTAGGGTTAAAGGGAGCCAGTCCTAGAGGTTGGGTGCAGGGGGACCTCACTACCACAAAGAAGAGGAGCCAGGAGCAGAATGTGCCCTCTGGACTTAGGTGACAGAGAAAGCTGTAACATTGTGGCCACCTTGGTGCAAGAGGGCAGGAACCAGGAAGCAGCCCAGGAGGTGGCGGGGGACAGTAGATGTGGCACACATGGAGGAGAGAGCAGGGCATCCAGGGCATGAGGCTTGCTGGATAAGTGGGGTGCTGCTGGGCACCTTCAGGCAGGGATTTCCGGATGGGCATTTATCGGCCAAGATGAAGCAATGTGTGACACTTTCGTGAGCAGGGCAGAAGTCAGACCAAGAGCCAACAGCCAGAGAGAGACCTGTCTGTGGGCACGGCCAAGAAAGAACTGTCCTAAGCACAGAACTGTCTCCTGAGTTCTTCCTGCTACTTCCAAATTGATCCTGCACCTGGACCGTACCCTATTCCGTCCCTAAATAAACCCCGTCACCACAAGCACAGCCTGGGGGTCTGTGCAGCAGAGAAGGGGAGGGCCATGGGGGGGCGACCTCGTCAGGATCGCTGAGAAGGTTTGGGGGGTGGGGGGGGGTCTGTCTCACCTGCATCCCACAGCATCCGCTCTGAAATGCTGCTCAGACTATTTGTCTCTCCTCTTTAGAGAGTCCGAGGGCTCTGACACATCCTGCCTTCCAATGGGCTCCGTCCACTAGACCCCGAGTTCACATGCACTCACCCAGTTCACCTACAGTCCTGTCTACACCCAGCTCTGGCCATCCACCGCAGACCCCGAGTTCACACCCACTCACCCAGTTCACCTCCAGTCCTGTCGGCACCCAGCTCTGGCCATCCACTGCAGACCCCGAGTTCACACGCACTCACCCAGTTCACCTACAGTCCTGTCTACACCCAGCTCCATATACCGCAGACCCTGAGTTCACACCCACTCACCCAGTTCACCTCCAGTCCTGTCTACACCCAGCTCCATATACCGGAGACCCTGAGTTCACACCCACTCACCCAGTTCACCCCCAGTCCTGTCTACACCCAGCTCCATATACCGTAGACCCTGAGTTCACACCCACTCACCCAGTTCACCCCCAGTCCTGTCTGCACCCAGCTCTGGCTGTCCACTGCAGACCCCGAGTTCACACCCACGCAGCCAGTTCACCTACAATCCTGTCTACACCCAGTTCTGGCCGGCCGTCCACCGCAGACCCTGAGTTCACACCCATGCACCCAGTTCATCCACAGTCCTGTCTACACCCAGCTCCGTCCACCACAGACCCCGAGTTCACACCCACTCACCCAGTCCACCAACAGCACAGACTCCCTTGGTTTTCCTCACCTGCCGTATTTCTAACTCCTTCCCCAACACTGAGAAACCTAGTTCCCAAGAGCCCTGATTTACTTTACTTCTTCCTGTCTGAAGCTAGGTTCCCACCTACTCCTACCAGCTGCCCCACCTCCTATGCCACATTCCCATCACTGGAGTTTGAGCCCCACATCACGGTGGGGTCCGATTCCCCACCCTACGGGGCTCTATCACCGAATTGGGCACTAGAGAACCTAGCCTTGCCAGCCCCACCTGACTGTCCTTCTGGAGTGTGCCCCCACCCGCCAACAAGCAGCCCCTTCCTTCCCTAAGCCAGGTGCTGACCAGGGCCCACCACAGGGTTTTTGGAGCGTCAGAAGCTGAGACAGCTGCAGGCAAAAGCACCTGTATTGCCGCTAAGCACTGTTAGCGAGCTCAGAATAACTGTCATAAGACGGCGGCGGAGTCAAGGGGCTGCTGATCTGCCCTGTGTGAAGCATGCCTCCCTGGGCATGGGGCTCGGGGAGCCGGCTGGCCCAGGCCCTCACGCCTGTGTGGAGGCCTAGGCAGAGGCCAGGGCTGTACATGCTCCATGAGCACAGACTCAGAGCTTACCGAAACGAACCTCCCCCAGGCTCCTTGAGCTTATTCTTCTGGGCAGCGGCTGCTTGTGCGGAGACAGTGGACAGGGCTTTGGTTCCAGGCAGCACAGCAGACTTGACCACAGGGACTGTAGAGGTCGAGACACAGGGAAGTGGAGGTGAAGCGAGAGGAGCTGCTTACACCCATGGGCAATCGGCTCCCCTCCTCTCTGCTTACACTGCCTGTGAAAGCCTTGGTCACTAACTCTACAGAGGGTGAAAAGGTAGGCCCCCTTGCCGTCGGCCGGCGCCTCACCTGGCTGCAGGGGGTTGAGCTGGATCTGCTGCGGCGTGGTGAGCATGATGCGGTTGTGTGGCTGCCGCAGGGCGACCATGGGCGTCTGCGTCAGCGTCACCTGGGGAGGGCGAAGGAGGGCTCCTGGCTTCTGAGGCTGCTGGATCACCTGGCGAGCAGGCAGCACAGGACAGTGAACGCCCCCACCCAGCCAGGCGGCAGCGCTGCCACCTCACCCCCATCCCCTAGGTGTGCTTCAGGCCCAATAGGCGCGACACTTGACGGTTTATCTGCCATGTGGTCAGCTGCCGGAGGACACAGGCCAGCAACCTGGGGCCTCTGCTAAGTGCTAAGCTCAGGAGTGGGGGGATGACTTCTCTCCAAACATCCACAGAGCCGCTACCTGCTGGTTAGAGGTCAAAAGTCTTTTCCCAAATTTCCTATTAAAAGGCTAGAAACCTCTGACTAGATTTCCAAGCCTGACTAAGCACTCAGCCCTGGGCCTCCTCTTCCTACCGGACAGCAAGTCCTCCCCACCTGGGCTGTGCTCCCCCACTCTGTGGGCCTGGCCATCAGTCCACTCACAGGCCATCTGTGTGACCCCCATAACACCCCAGCCCAGGTACACAGTGGGGACACGTGGAACTGTATTCAGTGAGGGCCCCCAGGCTTCAGGTACTGTCACAGGAGACCAGGCCCCAAACCTCCAGGGCCATGTGTCTCAGAATTCCATTTGTGAGTTTCACAGAGACTGTGGTGGGGAGATCACAGGAACAGGGCACTTCTAAGGGGAGAGGTACCACTTGTCACCAAACTACCCGAAGGCCTGCCTGTGACCAAACGCAATAAGCAGAACTCTCGAGGCTGCGACACAAAACACAGCCACATACTAGCCTGCACGCTGCAGAGGGAGGCCCAGTGGGCTCTGACCACAAACGCACACTGGCACGGTTCGAGGCCACCATCAAATCGACTGTGGGGTGACTCTGCGCCCTCTTGAGGGCAGCAGAGGCCTATGAAAACTCACAAAACCTCCAGCTGCCTCTGTCCAAACAGCCTGTCGGCGGCCTCAGGAACATGCTGTGAACCTGTGCTGTCCCTCATGGAGAAGGGGGACCTGGGCCCTGGCTCACCTCGACCCCGCTCCTCCCGCAGTGCTGGGCCCAACAATGAACAAAGGCCTGTCCCATCTTCTGCACCCCCTTCTCCTACACATGGACCTCTGCTCCTCATCAGTGGTGCCAATGGTCAGCACACTAGTCTAGTCCACCCTGAGGCACTTTGGAAGAAAGGCCTGGCAACCTACTTTTGAAAACTCAGCCATTGGTACCCTGCTATGGATTGAACTGTGCCCCCCAGAATGTGTGCTGTAAATCCTCCACTGTATGCTGGTGGCTATAACCCCACTTAGGTCTGCTCTAAGTCATGCTAGGTAAGACATGAAGGAGTTTGGGGTCGATCTCTTTCAGATATAAAAGAGAAAGAAGCAGCAAAGAGACCCCAGGGCACCGAAGCAGAAGCTGAGAAGAAACAGTGTCGGCCTTCGCCTCGAATCACGCCCTGAATTCAGACTTCTAGTCTCCTAAACCGTGAGAAAGTGAACTGGCTTGTCGAGGCTACAAGATGATGAAGACTACAAGTGGGGTGCTGACCTAACAGAGCCCTAAAGTATAGGGGTGCTTCTGGCACCAGGTAATGGGAAGAGGCTAGAAGAGCTTGAAGGTGGCTAACAGCCCTGTGATGTGGCAGGTTAGACATTGGGCTGCCAACTATAAGGTCAGCAGTTCAAACCCACCAGCCGCTCTGTAGGAAGAACATGAAATGATGGGCTCCTGTAAAGACTTGCAGTCTCAGAAACCCTACATGGGATATCTGAGTCACAATCGATTTGATAGCAGTAGGTTTTGATTAATAGTCAAAGCCTAGAGTGCTTTAAAGAGGCTGTCGGTAGAATTACGAAGCCAAAGAGAACTTCTGAGGTCTCAGAAGTGAGTAAGGAGATTGATAGACAGAGTCTCTGTTGCTTTAGAGTAGGGGTGGGGAATGTCCATGTGAGGCCCAGGAAATCATTTGGTCTGAGCTTGCCAAGGAAACTGCAGCTCCAGCCATCACATTGGTGGTGATGTGCCGTGGATTTGGTTCTGACTCATAGCGACCCTGTACAAGGTTTCCAAGGCTGTAAATCTTTACGGGAGCAGAAAGCCTCCTCTTTCTCCCATGGAACAGCTGGTAGTTTCAAACTGCTGACCTTGAGGTTAGCAGCCCAATTCGTAACCCCTAGGCAACCAGAGCTCCTTTACAGGCTGTTGTTGTTGTTGTTGTTATGTGTACCTTTACAGGTACATGAGTTAATTCGATGTTTGACCAAATATTGCAGAATAATTTATAAGTTGATAATTCTGTACAGCCCACAAATGCTGTTATAAATTTTGGTAGCAAGAAGATTCCTCACCCCTGTCTGAGAGAATACAAGTGACAGCAGCCACAGAGCATTGCTAAGAATGTGGGGGTTAAGTCATTCAGGAGAGGTCTGAGACGTAAACCAGGAGCATGAGACACCAGGGAAAGGGTAACGCTCTTTATGCATTATCAGTGGCAAAGAACTGGATGAATTATGCTCTCATGTTTGGTGGCACTCGTAAGTGATGAACTTGGATAGCTGGCTGATGAGATTTCTAAGCAAGATTTTAAAGGGACCACATAGCTTTTCCTCGCAACTTACAGTAAAATGTCAGAGGAGGAATATGGGCTGTGCAACATGAAAACAAAACTTCAAGATTTGGAAAATTGCGCTGTACAAACTGAGGGCACATGTCCTAGTGTGGTCAGCAAGGACGTGGCTACACACTCCTTTCGTTAAAGAGATTAAGGCTGACTGACAGATCTAAGCAACTCCGTAGCACAAACCCATCTATCAGCCTGGACCGCAGGGGGCAGAGAGAGAAGGAAAGGGGAGAACGCTGTCTGCCTCTTGGAATTCCACAAGCAGGTAGCAGATGAGCAGAGCTCCGTCTTGTGCCTCCTAAGACAAGGAGAGGCGCACCCCTGGAGTCCCTTGGAGGTCAGGAGAACTGCTGGAAAGAAAACACGCAGCAGAGGGAGGGGCTTCAAAGAGTTGGATCTTCATGAGCTGCTTACGGAGTGTGGCTGCTGTTACGGTGTGCCAGGTGTATGAGAAGACACCCAAAGCTGAGGCTACAGGGCTGCCGCTCCCAAGAGGAGAAGAAGAACAAGGTCTGCCAGGGCCCAAGGGGTGGGGTCTCCACTCTGATGGACTAAGAGAACGGGACCATCCAAAGCCAAGAGAGAGGAGTTGCCATCCCAGGGCACATGGAAAGCAGATCTGGGACAAGGGCCTCCACCCAGAATCCAGAGAGCATGGGCAACACCTAGAGTCTGGGTGCTCTCAGGATTCTTTCCAACCTTGAGAGCTAATGTAGATTGTTCTGCTGGGACTTGGCCCCGTAATTCCTTCTTATCCTCCGTTTTCTCCCACTTGCCATGGGAATGTCACTGCCTGTGCTACCATCTTGTATTCTCGGTAGGACAGGTTCACAGATGAAGAGGCATTTACCCTAGGACAGAATACACCTCAGATCTCACCAGTATTTGAGTTGGATGACTCAGAAAAGAAGATTTTTGACTTGGAGTTGATTTAAGACTTTGGGGGTGATGTGATGGGGTGCGTGTGTTTTGTATGTGGGCAAGGACATGATGACTTGAGGGCCAAAGGATAGAACGTTATGCATTAGATTGTGTTTCCCCAAAGTAATGCGCTGTAAATCCTAACTTCTATGCCTGTGGTTACAGTCTTACTTGGGAATGGGTTCTGTGTGTTCTTTAGTGTGGCTGGGTTAGTGTATGGGGTATCTTGAGCCAATCTTTGTTGAGACATAAGAGATTAAAGAAGTGAGCAGAGCAGAGGTTGGGTAAGCAGATGCCAAGATACGTAGAGGTCTCCAAGGACCCAGGTAACAGAGACTAGAGAGACCAGGTTCTTCCAACAGAGCCGACAGAGAGAAAGCTATGCCCTCGAGCTGGCCCTCTGCATTCGGACTTTTAGCAAAGTAAGGTAAGAGAGTATGATTTCCAATTCTTGAGAACTAATGTAAATTATTCCGTAGGGTTTGGGACTAGTTAAGGAGCCCTGGTAGGACAGGAGGCTACGAATTGTGCTGTTGGCTAAAAGGTTGGATGGTTCTAACCCACCAGTCCTTTGCAGGAGAAAGATGAGGCTGTCCGCCGTCCTATAAAGGGTTATGTCTGGGAAACCAAAGGAGCAGCTCTACCTTGTCGGACAGGGTTGCTGTGAGTCAGAACTGACTCACCGGCAGTGGGATTGGGGTAGTCATCATCCCTTCTTTCCCCCACGTGCCCCCACGTCTAATACAAATGTCCACCTTGCGCCCAGTCTAGCATTATACTTTATAAGTCGATGCCTCATAGCGTAGGTTTTGCAGGTTCACAAATGAGAAGGCATTGTGTCCCCAGATGCACATACCTGAGATCTAATCTGCATTTGCTTTGGATAATTCACCAGGTAACATCTTGGACTTGGAGCTGATTTAGGACTTTTGGGGTGATATGATGGAAAGAATGTACTTTTTGCTTGTGGCAAAGACATGAATTTGGGGGCGCCAAAGGGTAAATGTTACAGATTGAACTCTGCTCTCCAAAATAATTATAAATCCTAACCTATAACCCTATAGCCTGTGGTTACAGACCCATTTTGGAATAGGTAGTCTTTATCATGATAAGTAGACAGGAATCTTGTGGGCTGTATTTTGAGTCAATCTCTTTTGAGATATAAAATGATTAAGGAGGCCAGACAGCTAGAAGAGATAGGGGAACACAGAAACCAAGCACAGGAATACTGCCCATGAGCAGAAAGTCAGGTCAGACAAGGACTTTCCTACAGAACCCACAGAGAGACAGCCTTCCTCTAGGTTCAGACACGTAGGCGCCGGCGCTGTTCGAGAACAAGTGCGTGTGTGGTGCTGCACCGTAGTGGCACTAGATGCCTAAGACAAAACCCATGGAGCACAGATCTCCTTTGACAGGAAAAGGGCCTCCAGGCGTCCGAACGTCACTGGCACATACTGTGTCCCATGACCCTAGTCATGGATGTGCCACTGGTGAAAAGCCAGGACACCAGCACATAGGGCCAGCCTCGCGTTTACAGCCAGCTGCTTAGAGTGCACGCTATCCCCCTTCTTGGTGCGTGGAAGGTCTCAGGGCTGAGGCCACTATGGGCCGGAGGACGTGTGGGCAGGCCTTCCATACCAGTGATGTGGGCTGCCCCTGCTTGCCGACGCCAACCTGTGTGGGCTGCGTGAGGCTGATGACAGGGGGCTGGAGGGCACTGGTCACGGTTGCCGCCGTCTTCCCGGCTGTGCGCTGGACGGGGCTGCTCAGCACCACCGCCGTCAGCGCCGTGGTGGCCTGTGCGGCGGGGGGCGGCTGCTGTTGGCTCTGCTGGATGAAGGTTGCGGAGTTGGGGGTCAGCTGTCTCAAGGCGGGTAAGCTCCTCTGGGTGGGAAGACAGACAGACAGGGTGGGACAGCAGCTCTAGCATCGCATTCCTTTCTTCAGCATTTGGAAACATGAGACGTTTAGGAAGCATGTGCTAACTAAAGTAGACTGCAGACACAGAAGGCAATGTCTCAGGATACCCAATACCAAAGTCCCCAACACCAGGACCCAGCAGGAAGCAAGGGCACTCTTGTTGAGAACGGCTTGACATCTGTTTACAATCAACAACAAAAAGGCCAAGATGTTTTAAATGCTCTTAAAAATGTTATCACAGAGGAAAAAAATCAAACATTACTGGAGTCCCTGCATAGTGCATATGGGTAAGCATTCTGCCTAACTGAGACAGACTGACTATCTGTGTCCACCCAGAGGCTCTAGAAGGAAGGGCTTGGCAGACTCCTCCCAACACCTTGGCCGTGGAAGACGTCATGGGGCACCGTGCCATTCTGACCAACACAGAATCACTAAAGGCAGCTGATTTAAAAAGGAATTAATTATATCTCAACAAAGCTGCTCTAGTGAGAAGGCAAACAGCACGCCGTAACGGTTACAACAAAATGATCATCGGGGGCCCATGGGTGAGCACAGCTCCCTGAGTATGACCAGGACCCTTCACTAGGCAAGGACAAAGCCAAGCCCCGATGGAAGAACACAGGCTCCTTCATCTGCAGCCACGGAGAACAGAAAGCCAGTGCAGTAGGGCTTCCGGAAATGCGTCTTCATAGAAACCCTAAACTTTGGTCACAGAGATACCTGACGCCTTTCCTTCTACTGTGGTACTGCCATCAGCTCGCCAGTATTAATGGTAGAGCCCAGCCTTCCTCCACATGGGAGCTAGCCACGACTGCTTGTGGACACACGCACAGGACAAACGAGAATCAAGGCCAGTAAAGTCTGTAGAATTACCTTCAGGAAAGGCACAAGGTAAGGTTGAGATGCAGAATTAAGTTCTCGGTATAACCTACTAGTAAAATCTTCTGCTTCAATTTTTCCGTCCTTAAAAACAAAATCCACACAGAAATCCCTAATGAGTAAAAATGTCACAAACACGTCTCCCTGCTAAATCCAAGCTGGGCCCCGCCATTACAGCGGGTGTGGTGTCTTCTCAGCTGGGACCCGCCTAATGTTCTCACAGACACCTACTCCAGGGTCCCACAGCCCCTCCTGGTGAGAACATGCAGAGGACATGTCTCTGTCTGGGTGGTCTACTCCTCTACTGCTCATTTCTCCCATAAGCATCTTACTCAACCCAGTGCCTGGAACGACTCGACATTTGCCCTCCACAAACCACAGGCCAGGAACCGAATGAGGAGAGAGATTTGTGAGGGAAGTCTATCAACCATAGTCTGCAGTGGGTACAGAGGACATGGGAAGGGGGGTGGGTGTGGAGACCCAGGCGCCATGACAGGAGGTGACGGCTGAGCTGAGTGTGGTCAGACACAGGTGTCAGCCCAGAGCAGCGTGGACATGGCAGGGTGCCCCTTGAGGAGCTCAGGAAAGTGCACAGTTGGCATAAAAGCAGCACAGGAGAGGGAGGGGACAGTAGGACTAGAATGCAGAGCCACGAAGAGTGGGGCTGGGGAGGCAGAGCATAAGGGGGAACATGGCTGCTTCTGAATTAGTCGCGGTCAACAACGTTGGCGATGGGTACGTGGGGTTCATTATATGTGGCTGCCCTCTCTGGTTTTATGTATGTTCACAAGTCTCCGTCTAAAAAACAGGCAAAATGAATAGGGTGTAGGGGGAGAGGGAAAATAGGGAAAGTCTATCAGACGTATTTACTATCAGATGTAAGTGCCATCCAGTCAGTTCCAACTCATAGTGACCCTGTATGGGTTTCCGATGAATGACTGGTGGGCTTGAACTGCCCACTCTGCACTTGTAGGTGAACCTGCGGTGCAGGGCTGACTCTGCAACGTCATGGCAGGTGTATTTAACTCTGACTCCTAAGCTGCAGCTTGTGTGAGCACTCCCACACACAGGTCTTCCTGCCACCTGCCCCCTCAGGAACAAGGGTCCCCAGCCGGGTCACCGCAATGCCCAACAAAGGTTAGCACCCCAGCAAGGACATTGGCAGAGAAGCTGCTTACCAGTAGGTTCTGCACGAGCTCTTTCACATTAGCGGCTGTCTCTGTGGACTGTTTGCAAGTGGAAGTCAGCTTTATCAACGTGGATAAAAAATTTTTACATTTCTGCACGTTTTCCATGGTCTCCTAGAGTTGAAGGAAAGGAGAAACAAGAGTTTAACAAGGCGGCTCACCACAGTGGCTTCTGACCCAGCTCTGGGGTGGGCACAGTGTGTGGGCACAGGTGTGGTCCACGTAGAAATGCTCTACGTGACCTTTGAGCACACACAGAAGCTCTCAGCAGATGGCGTCCACACTCGGCCACTTCCCCAGAGCCCAGCAGCCCTGCTTTCAGGGATGCAGAGGACTGACAGCACACGTGCAACCTCAAAGACAAGGGTCATCACATCGTGGTCGCAAAATGCACGGGGCAACCTGACTGCTGTTAGGAACACCAGTAGCAGGGCTTCCAGCCTCACACAAGACACACGCCACTACAGTCAGACAGACTGACAAAGATGTGAAGGAAAAGGAACAAAGGAAGGAATCAAATTACAATACAGTTCCTAAAAATGATGGAAAACAGCCAGCAAGGAAACAAGGGAACAGCAATGACAAATCAAGTCAAGTCCCATTTTGATCCAAGTTACCGAAACAGAGAGAAATAGCGGGCACAAATAAGAAGGATAGGTTTCCTACGTTCCACGTGATACCACAGCCTTGTCATGGCCAACACAGGGTCCACAGCAAATCCAGTCCACCTCCGTGGGCAAGACGGTACAGTGCAAGGAATTCACACTTCAGGGGCAGCCAGCTTCCCTGTGGCAGCACCCTTCCTACACCAGCAGCTGGGTGGAAGTGATCCCAGGCCAGCTCACACTGGCGTCGACAAGACTCATTTTCCGGCCAGCAGTAAGCAGCCCTGCAATGATGGAGGAAGGAGCAAACAGGGGGCTCTCACCGTAGCAGCCGTCGAGGTGGTGGTTGCTCCCGAGACAGTCCGCTGGGGAGTCCCTGTCTGCACAGGTGCAGCTGTCCCTAGTGATGCTGCCTGGGCCGTGCCACCCAGGACAAGCTGAGGCTGTAAGAATCCAAAATACCAGGTCATGATCGCCTGCAGCAGCTGGCCAGTGCACAGGGAGGGCCACAAGCTATGAATCCTGCAGTGCCCAAGCCTGCCACTGCATGGTGCAAGATGACCCGCCCGGCCATGACAAGATCTAGTGGCCAGTAAGCTCATATATACTGGGTCCACACATTGTGCACACTCAGCCTCTCACCCTCCATTCACACTGTGTACACCCAGCCCCTCTCCTCCATTCACACTGTGTACACCCAGCCCCTCTCCTCCATTCACACTGTGCACACCCAGCCCTTCATCCTCCATTCACACTGTACACACTCAGCCCCTTACCCTTCATTCATACTGTGCATAAACACTCACATGGACACCCAGCCCCACCCTCTAAGTCCTCAGTATGCACAGTAATGTGGATGAACGAACCCCAAAGGGCTATTGGTTGAGCTCATAATCCAAGATCTGTGGACTGATGCCACCCCAGGAAAAGCTGTGGACATTCCTAGGGTCAAGTTCACATGGAGACCAGTGCAGACAAATTTGCGTCATTACACAGATTACATTTAGAAATTTGTTAAAGCAATGGAAAGCAAACCCAAGTGGGGACGCCTCCTGGGCACAGAGTCAGCTCCCAGTGAGTGGTCAGTCACAGACTGCAGCCCCTCCATGGGGAGCCCCCTGAGGGAGCAGATGGCAAGTTCCCAGCAGCCCCCGGTCCAGCCTGTCCTGGCTCGCATACACACCCTGAAAAGAGGGGGTTTCCGAGCCAAATGAGGAGTTCATGGATCTGGGGGCTGGCAGGAGCAGTGAGCAGCAGGAACAGTTCTGTCCCACAGATGTGGGCAAGCAGACAGGCTGCCGGTAGACAAGTGCAGGTCTTTGCTGGGATCCCCCTTCCCATGTGAGTGTTCCAGGACTCATGTGTGTCTATGTGAGCAGGTTGCAGGCGTGAACGCACGGTTGCCCCCGGGTGTGTCTTTGCTGGGGGCACTGTACATGCCGGGGGAGTGGAAGGGGGGAAATGGCTTTTTCCTGTGGAGCTTTGTCCTTTCACTTGTGACAGTTAGAAAACCTGCCATCAGAACATCAGACAGCCAAATGTAAGAGGTTTCTGGAACTTGAGGAGATCTGTTCCCTCTGGTGGACATCCCTTCCTCACACTGCCTGCTGGCCTCAGCACACCGGAAATGACCAAACAGGGGCTCACACCCCCAACATGCACCCAGAGCCCAGTGGTCAGGGCATTGTCCCACCCCTCCCACAATACACAGGCTGATGTGAGAACTTCTGAACCCGAGACCTTATTCACGGCTTCAGGACACGTGTTCCTGAACCCCTCACCTCACCTAAGCCAATTCAGCAAACCCCGCACAAAGAGCACATAGAATGGAGGGTGGGACAGGTGTATGCACAAGGCAGGTGCCCACATCCTCACACAGGCAAGCACGCCAACCACAAGCGCATAGACACTGCAGTGCTGCTCACAGTACGGGGCAGGGGGCCACTCTGGTGCTGCAGGTTCCAGAGTCCACGTGCATCTGTCAGAGAGCAGCTCCTCCCTGCAAGAGGAGTCCCTGTCCCCAGGACAACTCAGTATCTATTTGAGGAGCGCCCTGCGTGGCCCAGTTTGCACTCAGCTGCTAATCTAAACGTTGGTGGTTCAAACACACCAAGCAGAGCTGTGAATGAACGGCGTGGTGATCTGAGGCCATGGAGATCACAGCCTAGAACACCCTGTGGTTTACCCATTCCATAGCACACGGGGGTCGCGAGGAACTGGGCACCACTCCACGGGAAGAGTATCCACTCAGGAGTTTTAAGAAAAATCTCTGCACCAAAGAAGTCCATGCTTTGCATCCACAAATCAGCGGCCTCACTGCCCGCGCCAGCCTTACCTGCACGCCGGCTGAGCGCTGTAGTGTGGTGGTGGGCTGTACCGTCGTCTGAGCCTGAGACACTTGCTTGATTATGGTAGTTGGGGTGACCTGCCGGGCAATGATAGGTGTCCCGGGAGCCTGAAAAATACAAGCCAGAAACTGAGCTAGAGGTACAAGGACCTCCCACCCCCACCACACACGGAAATCAGCCGCTGAACACGGGGTTGCGGCAGTCGGTGTGCTTATCCACGATTTTCATGAGGGCCCGAGTCCTAACAGATGTGATCCAGATCCTTTCATCTACGTTTCCTACACAGGCGCCATCCACGACAACGTGTGTATCTGGAAGCTAGTCGTGGGCAGACTTCAGTGGACTAATGAATGAGACCCACAACTGTGACTGGGCAGTGTCCCTCAGTCACAGTGCTGTGGGTGGGGACAGAGGCTGCGGTCCAGGCGGCCGCCAGCACCTTCACCCCGTCGGAAGGACATCTAATCCCCAAGGAGGAGACACAGCACTGAGCTCTGTAAGGCCAGCGGCTGGCATGAAGTCACCCAGTGCTTACACAATGGGGCTTCAAAACAGTTTGTGGAGAAATGGAATAAAAAGATAATGGGATTTTTCCAGCTACCTGTTGAAGGCCTCTAGTGTTTGCACCTCACTCACCACACAGAGCAGAGAGGCTCCGTGCTGAGCCGTTTCAGACACTGGAACGGAGCTCTGCTGCTCTGCCCAGCAGCTCCCATACCGTGTCGACACTGCCGCCGGGTCATGGCTGAAGTCGGGGGGAGAGACACTCTTGGTCTCATCCTGTCTCCGCTCTAGCCGGTAATTCAGGAGCAGCAGAATCAAGGCTCTCTCAGGGGGTGTATTGGCAGGAGCCCCAATCAAAGTGACGAGGCTGGACCAGAAACCCCTCACAGAGGTGGGATGTCTGGAGGTCTCCCCACCTCCACCTGAGGGCCAGGGTCTGAATCGTTGGCCCTGTATGGTGGTGTGAGGGTCCCACTCCCGAGCTCAGCTCAGTGCTCACTCTGCTCCAGTGTGCTCAGTGTTTTGGGGTTCAACCTTGGAAAGAGCCCAGTCTGCACTGCGACAAACCCCATTTGAGGGTAAGGAGCCAGAACCCTGCACAGTGGGCAGGATGACAGCTGGTCCCACACACCAGAGCCCTGTGTGGGCATCGTGAGTGCTCCCGGCCGGTCCTCCGCTCCTCTCACAGACACTCACCTGTACGGCGGAGATCTGGACGGGAGGGGCACTTGTGGGGGTGGCAGGGCGGGGCGCCATGGCGGTCTGAGGCTGGGCCTGGGCGTGGGCCTGCGCCTGCATCTGAGCCAGCGCCTGCTGAGGGATCATTAACAGCTGCCCGTTCTCGCTGCGCACGAGGACCATACCTAGGACATAGGAGACCTGGTCAGGAGGGCAGCCACACCCACGGGCACGCTGGGGACACGCATCCTACCAAGGGGAGGTCGGGAGCTCTGGGGAGAAAGAAGAAGAAGTTGTAAAACAGATGGATCTGCTCAACGCTCAGCACACGTGCCTGCAGGGATGGGTCAGGGAGGGACAACCATCCAAGGGTTCTCTTTGTTAAGTGCCATCGAGTAGGTTCCAACCCACAGCGACCCTGTATAGGGTTTCCCAGGAGCACCTGGTGAGCTTGAACCACCAATCTTTCAGTTTAAACGGCTTTGCAGTCTGGCGCATTAGCCCACAGCACCACACCAGGACTCCAAGGTTTCTCTAGGAGCATGGAATTCAGGAGTCATGGAGGCAGCAAATCAAATACATCCAATCCTCCTTCGCTGTGCCCCAGTGACCACCCCCCACCCTCACCCCAGGGCCTGTCTGCAGGGAGGGACCCCGAGGCCCACGGCTTGCCTTGTCTCAAGGAAGGCAGCAAGCACCTGCACTGGGCCTGTGTCAGCTCGAACCAGCATATCCAGCACCCTGACCCAAACTGCCGCCTGCAGAGCAAGGCCAAGTTCAGACAAGAAGGTGTCATGGAGACAGCAGGGTCTGGGGGCCAGAGGACAACTCTGGGGCAAACCTCGTCTTTGCATCCCCTGTTCCCAGGACAGCTCCGAGGGCACTGCCACTAAAGCACACCGGGGCCCACAGCGGCCAGCACACAGCTACAGTCTCCACGCCCAAGTGAAGGGGCCTGAGAGGAGGAGGTGGCCAGGAGCCTCCCTTGGGAATTCAGGGGCAGTGTCTCTCTGGTCCTGGCTCTGAGACGCCCCCCAGCACAGGCATCACGCTCGGAACTACACCCTGTGTGTGTCCAGAGCTACATTCTAGGAAAGCAACTCCAAGGGTCAAGTTTGGCCTTGATGTTTGCTTCCGAAAACAGCAACCCCATTAGAGGCTGACCTATGTGGGCTGGGTTCCAGACCACCCCACAATAAAACAGAGATAGGAACTCAGTAAGTCACACATGTTGCTGGTGAGTTTCCCCATGACGTGCACACAAGATTCTAGTCTATGGAGAGTGCAGTCACACAATGAAGTCGGCAATATCACGAGATGACCAAAATGGGACACAGAGATGCCAGGTGCGCAAATGCTGTTGGAGAAAACAGCGTAACAGACTTGCTCTAACCCAGAACAAAATCAGCAGCATGACTGGCTACGACAAGAATAAGCGGGTTGTTCGCCAGGAAGCCATCAGGGCAAACAGTCAAGTTCCTTCAGGACAAATCCCCCTCCAAGACCGAAACTCTAAGGGAACACATGAGCAGGCATGTAAGCTTGCTGGAGACCACATTCGTCTACTGGTGAGTGGAAGGGAGGGAAAGGCAGCAATGAAGAAATGGGCTGAGTTCAACCACATTCCATAGAGTCCTGTTGACCTGGAGATGAGAGAGAGAAGAGGAAGAGCTGGTTGGTCCAAAGCATGGTGAGACCTAGGGACACCTGAACCCATGGAAAAGGACATAGCCATAGAGGGCTAGAGCTGAGAGTGAAGCAGCCAGCTGATAGGAAGGGAGGGGAGATGCACAAGAACACCCACACTTGTAGATAGTACCCATTTGACCTAGCCCTAATGGATTGATAATCAGAACTAGTCTAGAAGATTTAAAAAAAAAAATTTTTTTTTTTTTGATAAAAGAAATGAGGTTTAAATTGCGATAGTAGCTCAAAATGCCAACTGAGAGGGAATGAGTCTTCACATCAAGTATCAATGCTATCCCCTCTGTATACAGGGTGGACAGGGACAGACAACTTAGACACTGGCTACCTAAAATGAGGGGATGATAAAGGCTCGAAGTGACCAGCTTACAAGTTTTCAAGAGGGAGTTTACTTTAAGAGTGTGTGGGGGAAGACAGAGTTCCCACTGAGTAGTTTTCATCTTGTCTAGATGGTTCTGGTGAAAAGAGATGAGGGTAAGATTCTTGTGATTCAACAGTGAGTAATGTTATCATGACTAATTGTGACTGTCACAATTGTAAAGGTAGAGGTTTTGTGACAAAAACTGGGGAATAGTTAATCTTACAGTCCAAAAACAGCGGACCCTAGGACCATCAAGCTAGAAGAGCACAAGCAGAATGTGGGACCTTATCCAGAGAAGCAGCAACACCAGAGATAGAGGCAGAGATGGGGTCATGGAGAGAGGGAGCAGCTGAGGACTCTAGACTCATGGAAAGAGAGGGACTGAGAGCTGGCGGCCAGGAGGCAGGCTTGAAGAATGTGCCCTTTGGTGGTGTAAATTATTATATATGCCTGAATGTCTTAAAAAAAAAAAAAAAAAAAGATCTAAAATGAATAAATGAATAGAAAGAAATACTGTTAACGGATGGTACATGGAGGGGATTATAATCATTGTAATGAAACAAAGTATATGATTTGTTGAATGTAAAAATGATGATCTGCCCCATAAACTTTCACTCAATTTACAATAAAAACTTAAAAAAAAAAAAAAAAAAAAGAAGACTTGCTCTACACCACATTGCCACAAACCTTGGATCTGTAAAAAGCCAGTATCTGCGCTGCGCAGCGCAGTCCCAGGAGGTAAATCCCACTACAAACAGCAGCACATTGTCTAGCTATCCCACTGCATTTCCCACGGCAGGACTGGTGGTGACGCTGTACACTGCCATCCGGCTCCGGGGAATCCATTCCACCCCGAGTGAGAGAGGACAGATGGGGGACAAGGCAGTTCTGAGGCTGCTTCTCCCCCATAGCGTGAAGGTGTGCTCCCAGAAAGACAAGGGAGACTCAGCGCACTCAGTGGCCATCGTCACCTGCCCACTGGGCTCCACTTCCTCCTGAGAAGGAGGCTGCAAAGCCTGCTTGACATGTTGGCCTCTTGGGATTCCTCAGAAATAGAAGGAGGGGCCTCTGGGCTGACACAAGAAAACAATGCCAAAGGGGTGCCCATCACAACACCAGAAACAAGGGAAGTGGCTTCCTGGACTCACGTCTGAAACGCTCCAACCACAAGAACCACATTTGTGTCTGTGGAGAGAGATGCCCTCGAAAACACCCTCCCACAATGAACCATGAGGAAATCAAACACAAAACCCAGAGCCCAGCTGCTGCAAGCCCCCACAAAGACACAGTCTCCGATGCTAGCAACACCCCCAGCAGCTCATTACTCAGCTCTGCCCTTTGGAGCCAGCCCCTCTCCAAATGCCAGGCTGCCAGCGCACAAAAGGCTCCAAGAAGGCTCAAGTTAGCAGTGTGGCCAACCAACAAGCAGATACTGTGCTGGGACCCCTAAAACAGGGGCGGACACAGAATGCCGCTTGACATTGTTTTCTCCAGTCCAACCATTCACTTACGACACTCATTCATCAACCCAGAGGCCCCTCCTACTGCCTCTGAAGAATTCCAAAAGGCAACACGCAACGCAAGCTTCATAGTCTTCAGACGGTACAAAAATGACAGGGACAGCATTACAACTTGACGTTTGGTACCCAACATCAAACAAGCCCATCTGACATAGCTGATGTGCACATTTTAATTACCTAAAACTTGTATGCTTAAAAAGGACATCTACAGATTACTTATATAATCAATACCCCTGAAATGTTGTTAAAGGCCGAAAGAAATCAAAAGTGTTACTATGGACATCACAACAGGGCAATGCAAGAGACACTGCCTCTTGGAAAATGGTTTCTGGGGAAAGCTGCACTCAAGGGGCAGAACAAGAAGTTGACAGTCCTGCAGAGAAGCCATGGAGCAAGGTGACGGTCAGCAGGTGACTTCCCCTCTCCTCTTATTGTGAAGTGCCATCCAGTCAGTTCCAACTCATAGTGACCCCTACAGGGCTTCTGAGGAGCAGCTGGGAGGCTTGAACCGCTGACCTTGCAGTTAGCAGTCCAGTGCTTATCTTACATACCTCTTGTTGTTGTTGTTGTTGTTATGTGCCGTGGAGTCGGATCCGACTCATAGCGACCCTGCACAGGGTTTCCGAGGCTGTAAATCTTTACAGGAGCAGAAAGCCTCATCTTTCTCTCGCGGAACTGCTGGTAGTTTCGAACTGCTGACCTTGCAGTTCGCAGCCCGATTCGCAACCACTACGCTACCAGAGCTCCTTAGATTCTTAAAGTATCCCCAAGCTAATATACAAATGGACAGGTGAGGGAAAAGCCAAATGACACTGGATACAAAGCGATGCGGGCTGCTTTAAATTCAGTAGATGGCGTGGCCCGCCTTAAACGGAGCTCATGTTTGCTTCAAGCATGTAGCTTGGAAGCACTCTCGTGTGACAGTTTTCTACTTGCAATGAGTTACAATCACAATCGGACTACAAGAAGTCAGCTGCACAGCTGACAGCTGACACACACACTAGCCTGAGGACACTCAGAACTCCAAGAGCTGAATGAGTACCATGTTTCCATGACATTATCACTGCTCTGAATCTTGTAAACTCGCTTAGATCATTCATTTCAAACAGATAACTAACTACAGTGATGTACTTGTGCAAGAGCAAGGAAACACCACCTTGTCTTAAAATGTCACTAACAGGAACAGGAATTTATGGGACACGGGTCATGAAATAGTAATCGGTCTCATTGATGCTGTCCAATCTCCCACTCCACACTGCACTCTGCACTTACAGGGACAGTCACAATGACTCTAAAGAAGCTACTACTCGCTGCTCTGAGACAGACCCGTTTTCTGTCCATGTCCACCTACTATGCAGAGAACACTGCCTCTCCAGAGGGCCAGCTACCTGGAATGTTGGTCCTCGTGTCCCTAGCCCAGCATTCCTCATGACAAACACACCTCACATCAACACCACCTACCACCTACCACTACCTCACCCCAACACACACACCTCACACCTCACACAACACACAACACACACCTCACCCCAACACACACACCTCACACCTCACACAACACACATCACACACCTCACACCAATACACACACTGCACACCT